TATGCTTACCCAATCCTTTATTATTAAATGGCAGCCTAATCATGAAACTACCATCATTATAGATGTTTAGATACATGCAATTCTTACTTCCACGAGTAGAGAAGCTAGAAAGAAACTATGGCTAGGTAGTTTAGATTATATATATATATATATATATTAGGCTAAAAACTTAATTTGGTCTCTTATAATATTTGTTTGTTTCAATTTGGTCCCTAATAATTTAAATTATTGCAATGTCGGACTTCCGTCCAAATTATTTAGACGGAGTTAACTGTTGGCCATGTAGATGCATAGGTGGATGCAAAAAAAATTTTAATGCATCTGGAACCAGAACGGGTTCCCCTGAAGATTACGAGTGTACCCTCAGGCAGGTACAGTACCTATCATGTTATGAGCAATATCAGTACAAAAAAATTATTATTATATACATTTAAATCATTATTCGTCATTTTTTTATTGAGAAATCAAAACACAAGATTTTTGTCAAGCTTACTCGCATGATATCTAATCATATGGATGTTTGATATCTAAGATAAGCAAATTTAAGATGCTTACATAAATTCAAATCTTCTCAAATTAAATAGGATCATAGTTTTACAAATTCATTACAAAACAAGATAAAGAAAATGAAGTTTTCAAGTTGTTGACTCAAACCCATTCTTAAACTAAATTCTAGTAAGTGAAATATGGAGGTACTTACGTTAGAACTAATTAATATAGAGCGTGTTTGGAAAATCGTTTTTCTAACGAAAACGTAAAAACACACTTTCCAAAGCACTAAAATACAAAGCAACTATTTCTATCTTTTCCGTTCAACGCACGTTTGTCAAATTTTAACAATAAAACAAACACACACATAGTCTTTCACATTAAAGTGATAGGTGAAATTGTCATTAAACAACTTATTAGTAGATTTACACATTACTTTTGGATGACATGTACACCATATATTATGTATTAAGTAAAGACTTTGGGATTTCATCAAGCTACAACTATATCTATTATAAATTAGTGACCTTTTAATCATACCTTTTAAAGGATAGTTAGTCCAAGATATTGAATAACAAAACATGATTAATTTTGGAAGGAAAAACAAACATCATCATGAGTAAGAGTACTCATGACCCATTTTACCCCACCAACTAGACTTGATCCAAAGGGAATTTTGACAAGTTTGAGTTGAAGAATTTAGACCTAGTGTGTTTTGAAGAAGAACTCAAGTTATACTTCAAGTTATCCCAACCTGGTTTTATGTTGTATGTTCTTTTAAAAATTATTTTTAAATAATTATGCATTAATAATATGACTTATTGACTTAATAAATAATGCTTTGACTAGCGTGTTATAATATTAGTATATAAATATCATTTATCTTAAAATATATAGTGTACAATATACCTTAATGATAAGCGTATACTTATTTAATTCTATAATTTAGCTATATATAATGTTGAAATTAATATGTTGTGCTAGTAAATTGGGTTAATCCAATTCATCCCAAATATTGTCAAGTTTTAATCGAGTCAAGATTAGGTTCACAAAATTAATACTATCACAATTGCAAGTTGGGTAAGGACATCGATAAACTTGTCTTGTACACTCCTAGATATGAGAATGTACATGTGATAGAAAAACTAGGTCGATATATCAAGATATGGTATGTTGCAATTGAATATTTGTAACAATAAATTAATCCTAATTTTAAGATCACCGACCCTTTTAATTTCAAGTGTAACAATTAGTGTACAAGAGTATTAATATCAAAACATAAAAACAAATGATTGATTTACCGATTCAAAGTAACTTATGAGAAGGTTATTGATCCAAGTAGAACTAAACCAATTCCCTTAAGTAATGTCTTGAGTTTGAATCTTATGAATGAAAAAAATGTGGTTGGGGGCTTAAACCCTACTTAAGGTGGTCAATTAGGTTTTTTTGACAAAAATTAGTTATCAACAAAGGTAATGAATATTTCATACCAATAATATGATTAAAAAATATTTATGTAATGTAACTGGATATTCGTTCTTAATAATAATAATAATAACAATAATAATAATAATATTGGTAATGTGTTCATGTGATGAGTCTTGTGTAAGGCTTATTATGATAGGTAAGTGAACTCATATTTTTTTAACACACGAAGGAACTTGTAATTATTCAAGTGTTGGGGCTTATTATGATGGGTAAGTGAGCCCATATTTTCTTAACCCAAGAAGATATGAGTGACAAAACAAGTCACGGTTCATTGGCCTAAAAAAATTTGGTGGGTTGAGTCAGGTCTCAACCTGCCCCACCTAATCCACTCATCTATCAAGTTAAATGGCAAGTCCTAAACCCTAAACCCTAAACCAACTAACATTTTTTTTATTGATTTCTTATTTTTAATGTAAGTTAAATTAAGTCACTTCAAATTTATTGTATATAATATGTGATTTATTGTACAACAAATTTATTATGCATTTGATTTATTTTATTATATGTAATTTTATATTTGTTTTACAATAAATTTGTTACAAGAGTTATGAATATTATTATAGTTAGTTAATTACATATCTATTTTGTTATACAACAAATTTGAGGTTTGTTGTACAACAAATCAAATCAAATTAGTTGTAATTTGAGATTTTTTATTATTATTTAGGTACACTGATTTATGTAGGTCTTTTATATGTTAAAATCATGTTAGAAGAGTAACTAAAAATAAATATACAATTTTTTTTATGGACTAGTGGGCTGACTTGCCAACTTGTCCTTAGGCAGGATAAGTCATGATTTGCAACCCATTTTCTCTTGGGAAGTCAACCTGACCCAACTTGATTTTAGCAGATTGAGCCTAGATGGGTTGAAATGGCTTATTTTATCACCCTTATAAGAAAATTCATTTTTTTTATACTAATTGCAATATTGTTAGTTCCATTGAAACATCAAATTTGTTTTGACACAATTTATATGAATAATTTTCTCTACTTACTAAAATTAATTATCTTTTACATATTCAGGTATCCAAATTTTTTATGATATTTTTTTATTAGAAAAAAAAGTTGTATTATAACAACAATAAAATTTAAACTTATAATTTTATACATATTATTTTAACTTTTTATCATTAAACTAGAAAGCCTACCCTAATGATTCACTTTTCATGATATTATACGTGTTGTAATTGAGAATTGTTACATTTTAGAGTGTAACTTAAAGTTATATTATATGTTAGATTAAAGTTATCAAGAATGAAATGTTATTAACTAATTGGGCTTCTTTGTTAGATGCAATAAAGATCACAGGACACATTTTTAGAAATGAGCGACCAAACAAAAGTTGATTTTTCAAAAAGGAAAGCGTAAAGATCAACGTTTCCCTATTTATAAATACCAAAAATATGTTTAACTCTTATTTATTTATCTTGGAAACAAGAAAGTCTACACTAGGGTAAAAAAACAATTGCATTGTTTAACTAATTGTGAGAACACTTAATAACGAGTATGGATAGTTATAAATAAGGCCATCTCCAAGTGTGAAACACTTAATAACCCGATTAAGAAAAATAAAGGAAAGATATGTAGTAATTTGTTTTATTATTATGGATTAATGAATTTATTAATTTAATTTTAGTTATTTATATTCAATTGAATTTCATTTTTTATTCTATATGTTATTATATTATAAATATGAAATTATATATAGATATAGATATAGATATAGATATAAATATATAGAATTATTTTTTTCTTTAACCTTTTTTTAGTTAATAAGATTAAAGAAAAAAAAAAGTCCCTTATCTAATGGATAGGATAGAGGTCTTCTAAATCTCATTCGAAAAAATAACTTAAATAAGATCTTATTTAATAAATATTTATGTAATAATAATATGTTATAAGTATTTAAAATTCAATAAATTTTATATTTAAATATGTATATGTATAAATATTTATACAATTTAAAAATGTTTGAATATATTATTATTTAAACATTTATAAGATATTATCTTATTTTAAAAATTAACAATATAAATTAAAATTTGACTAAAAATAAAATAATTTTTTTAAAAGTAATTAAATAATTTTAAAAAATGATATTACATATCACAATAATTTAAAAATAAAAAATTATGAGTCACCATTCACATAATTTTAGTTTATAAAAAAAATTGATGAGAAGTCAACTTTTATACTAACCTATAAAAGTAATATTTTTTTTTCTTAAATGTTTTTTGTCTCTATAATTTGTGGATCATTATATCCTTAATTATTAAGAATTTAAAAAAAAAAAAAACAATAACTATCATTGATCAATTATGAATAACCATCCAAACTATTATTTTTTTTATTTATATATAACCTCTTTTCTCTAATATATATAATTATGATTAAAAATTAAAATCATAAATTTTAAAAATTAAAAACCAATTCCATATATTCTACAAAATCATGATTAAAAACAATATAAATAGGGAAAAAACTGAGTATCTGAATTTTTATCCTGTAAAGAAAATTATGTGATAAGTAAAAATAATAGGCGATAAAACAGTAATGAAAACCGAAGAAAAAAAAGACATTATATATTTTTTTGACAGAGATTTTCATTAAAGCATATATGCTATTCCAGAAGAAGAAGAAAAAAAGTTACCAAGTTTATTTTTTTTTAATAAGAGAATGTGAATTTTGGGGGTAAAAGATAGAAAAATTTTTG